GGTGCGTGGCAGCAGGTAACCATTAGCAACAACACTAGAGGTAAAAACTAAGCCAGTAGTAAACTACAAAAAGAGCAGAGCTTAAAAACTTTTGCAGCTTCTGCCAGCATTTATATTCGCCCAACTAATGGTAGCTGAAAACGTGAAAACGCAATGAGATAATGTAAGCCAAAACCCAAATGCAACAGCCCCGCACAGCAGAGAGTCTTTGCTTTCGCCATGCCAGAAACTCTCAAAGTTTTTGTTCAAATAATAGCGTCTGCATGCACTAATATAGCCTGGTTACCGCCCGATCGACCCACACACAATGCTGGTAGAAAAAAAAAAATAGGAATCCTTTCACAACTTTTTTTTTTCATTAGAGATGGAAATCTCTGAGAATGTTGTAATAGAAATATATGTATAAGCAAATATTGAATTTAATTCATAAAATAATTATAAATAGGTGAGTACAAGATCAATCAACATAAGACGTGAGATGTAAGAGACCATTAGAAATTATAATCGATAAATATCGATATTTTCTTATTTATTATTATATATATAACAACTATATTAGTAGAACTTATTTGTCTATTTGAACATATTTGCATATAAAATGTATTTTAATATTTAAGTTTAATTTCAAATAACTTTTCAATGCCTAATTTCATCAAATAATGTTGGGTCTTCTAAAGCGCTACCTAATCTACTCTAATCGAAATATAATATACAACGTATTTCATGTTGGCCCTGATCGCTTCCATCTATTGCCATTAAAAATCAATTTTTATTATTTGTACTAAATATGGCTCTACACAGCTTCGTACCGTATGGCATAGAGGCGTGACGCTCTCATCTCCATTTTAGAAGCATATGCGCTTTGAATTATTTATTACAAGACCAGCAGACGCCGCAGCAACAGCAACAGCAACAGCAGCAGCAGCAGCAGCAGCAGAGGAAGAAGAAGAAGCAGTAGAAATAGCAGAGCAGCAGCAGGTTTCATTTTGGCAAAAGCAAGCAATTATGTGTAACGTGGCGTATGCGCAATCTTCAAAAGCAAGAAAATTAATTAGTTCGCCAGCTGCTGGCTGCTGGCTGCTGACTGCTGCCTGCTGGAGGGGTGCTGAGCCGGCCTTTGTGGTTAACAAGCGAGCTGATAATGAATCGATTTGTTTGAGCAGCAGGTGAGCCAACTTAAGCAGATTTCACTGTCTGTTGGCCAGCAGCCAGTGATTGCAACAAACGACCCAAACAAACATCAATGCCAAAATAACTTCTCAAGTTGTTGCTGCCACTCCAACTGCTGCTGTCTAACTAAGCTTGGAATAACAGCATGCCTGTCGAGCTGCAGGATAAACACGAATCGAATGTCATTAAAATAAAGACAAGACAGCACAAGGCAGGGCAGGGCAGGGCAGGGCAACGAGTGGGTGGTTGGGTGGTTGTTAGAGGCACAGGCGGTCGCTGCGGTTCGAGCAGCATCATGTTGAGAGCTCATTAAAACGAATACGAATTTAATGGTACTTAAAGCGGAAATTGCCTGGGAAGTTTCCGCCATGCCAAGCACACTACAGCAGGAGCAACAACAACAACCATACAAAGC